CGGGACATTCTTCATGCAGAAACTTAACTAAGTTCAATGTTGTCAAATATAACAGCATCTTCTGTTGCCAACGCTTGAAATTTGTGCTATTGAATTTTTTCGATTTCTCATGTTGTGAAGCCGACGGCATGACAAATTCATTGGAACTAGAATTTGGCGCAATCACAGTACTAGTATTATTTTCAATAGTGCTAGCCATTTTCTGTAAAACCATAATTATAGAAAATAATCAATAAAAGAAATGTAGAAGAAAAGAAAAAAGATATATGTCTTAAGATTGTTGTTGGAAATTCGACTAACTCAATCGAAAGAATAAAATAAAATGAACATAAAATGAAATGCAGTAGATGAAGCGAGATATGCCAAAGTAAATCTCCTTAAGACGAATTTCCCCTCCCAATAAAGTGCAAACGGGATTATGGACATCTGTCTCTCAAGATACAACGCTCCTTCCAAAATTGATATTATACAATACCAAACTTGTCGATCGAACCAAAGAATGATCCTACACAAACGGAATAACCACGAATATATTTGAAAGAATTTTTGCAAAATTTGGAGGGAGAATGAATTTACAAATCAATAGTATTTTAATTGATTTGGTTTCTTGAAAAACGAGTCTGGAGGTCTCTATTTATAGAGATTAAAGTGTATCATTGAGTGGGTATGTTACATTTCATGAACTTGTGCACCACTTGGTCTGATTCATCTTAGCCATTGGATCGCGCTATTTCATGATCTGACGGCCCAGATTAAACCATGAAGTGTAGTGTCCATTCATCATACCTATTCACCAATTTCTGAATAGTCACCAGCCATGCAGATGCCACGCATACATCCAATTGAACCAACTGCCATGCCGAACAAAGTGACGACATCTGTTACGTATGCCACCTAGGATGCCAACTTATCGAGCCTTTCATTGCCATGTCATCGAAACTATAAAGCTCTTCAGTTACTCGCGATGATGCCTCTAAAGCGCCCATTACGAACTTTGCGACATGCTAGGTCAGGACCGGGACTAGGGCGAGGTGCAGCACAATGCGGTTCTAGTGGTGGCTAGTTTGCTAGCTTTTGGCTAGCCAAAGTTAGCTAAGTTGTAGGTCACTTATTAAATTATAGCTTGTTCACACATCCCACTAAATAAACAAGTATTTTTTCTTGTAAACTTTTGATGTAGGATTCCTAACTATATATAAGACACTTAAAATGGGCTTATCAACTTATGAGACCTATATTGGAGACTTTTCTAATTCACTCAAATTAATTGCAATGGCCCATATCATTAAATATCACATTTAATGATTTATCCCAATTAGATTCAATTAATTCCAACAATCCC